CCCCCCCCCCCCCCCCCCCCCCCCCCCCCCCCCCCCCCCCCCCTCCCCCCCCCCCCCCCCCCCCCCTCCACAGCCTGAGTGATTTGCATCTCAGTGACATTGACAGCTACACATCGAAAATTCAAAAGATGCTGGTCATACAGCGAATGTGACTTTACCTTAGGAGCACGTGCAGAAAGGCCATGCAATAATAGAAAGTTGCAGCAAAAATTCAGGAAAAAAAAAACTCAATGAGTAAAAATATGAGCAGATGTTGTGAAATTTACCTTTCCAGTATGCCCGCCGTGAATGAAGATCAGCTCCGGTGGGCCATCTGCATCGGCTTCTGGTGTTTGCTTCTCACCAATTCTGCTCAAATCCCAAACAAGCAATCGTCGATCAGTGCCTGCTGAGGCAAGAAGTGTTTCAAAGTGTGGCGACCATTGCACTTGAAAGATTTCATCCTTATGTGCTTCAAACGAGTGCAACTTCGCTTTCAAGTTTCGGAAATCCCACAGCGCAACTGTCTGAAATAAAGCCTTTCATCGGCCGAAGGAAAGAATGCAGGGGGAATGAAAAGGAAAAGAAAGAAAAAAGCCAAAACATCGACAACTTTGCTGATCCGAACAATAAAATACGATGGAATTTAAACTGTCTGAAACTTTCCACACATTTTTTTAGGACCAGTCGAACAAAAGAAGAAAGGCAAAAACAGAGAATGTCTGACCTTATCAGCTGAGCCGGTCACCAAAATGAACTCCGAGTACGGGTTGAATGCGATACAGTTTACTTCGGCACTGTGCGCTTCCACGGAATGAACTGGCTTATTGCAGCAATTATTACGCGTATCCCAAATCATTAATTTGTGATCATCGCCAACTGTACCAAACACATTCCCATGCAGCATGTGCCAAGCAACGTCCTCGACAGAAGAGGTATGACCAGTGAAGATCTGAAATTTTATACATTGAACTCTGTTGCATACTAGGTACTCCTCCTTCCCTTCTTCCACCTCCCGGATCGTACTCTTCAAAAATTTTCTACGAAAAACAGGGATGCCCTTCCGAGGCTCACGCCACCATGATATTCAGTGGAATAAATCGCTCCGCAGGCAAAGATTCTGAACATAACATGACACTGAAGAATTCGTTCCCACAGCCATCGGCCTGGATGCATCAACGAATTTTTTCTAAAAAGCACTCAAGAATTTCAGAGCTGCAACGCAACCACGCTTATGCCTACAACACCTGTACCCGCTGTTAGACGGGGACGGCTCGACATCCCTTGGAAAAGATGTTAACAGATTATTCGCGTACAATTTTCACATATTTTGCTAATTTTCAGTCAATTGGTAACCACCACTCAGATGTCATCAATCTGGGATGTTATGGTAGCAGATCGCTGTTGTATTTCTCCTAATTTTGTCTTCATTTGAATGGATCAGCACTCGCAGATTTTCCTCAGCTTACTACGATTCCTTTTTAAATTGTTTGTAGGGAGAAAAGTAAACTAGACCCCAAGATTCATCCATGTTTTTTTATCTTCAAAAATTGTGGAATAAAAAAAAAGCTAAGCTAACTGTAGCGCCCAGGTTGACCTTGGATGTCTAAGTAAGGAAGGCGTATAAAATACAGAACAGAAAAGAAAGGAAGAATGAGGTAAGACGTTCTGGTCCATCT